CTGTGAAGCTGGAGCCATGTTTAATTACTAATTGGTATTAAGTAATTAACATTATATTGCTGGAAAATATTGTATAAATATATCACAAATAATAAAAATATAGTTGTTTTCGTCATGCAGTCATATGAATGAGTTAATCTATTTAATTATGATATATAACGATGAACCTTTTAGAAGAAAATATTTTTTTATTTGAATGATTTTTTAATTTTATAAGTTTTTAGCAGTTGTGGGCAATAATGAGTTCATGTGCCTATTAGCAATAGGCCTATATCTCACAAACCACTGGGCAGATTTTTATAAAAGTTGCAGAAATTATTATTTAGATGTAAAACTGACTGACTTGGGAATCAAGATGTCTGCCACAGCTAACTGACCTTAAAACACACACACAAACACACACATATACAATATATTTTTCTTTTTTTTTTTTTTTTTACAGTTAGTGACCTTAAATTTGGCTGAGACTGATCCCTAAGTCAGATTTGTTTAAAACTTTGCCGTTGGCTATTTCATGTCTGTTTTGTCTGCCTGTTGGCAAAACATTTAATGAACCTCTGGATGGGTTTTTGTGAAACTTTAAGGAAATAATCAGTGAGTGTATAATTAAAACCAAATAACTTTTCAAGCCAACACCATTTTTAGATGACTGCCACAGCCAAATATCCTTAAAAAACACAAAAATGTATTTAATTCATCCGGTTTTAAACCGATGCCTTATTTCCCATTGTGTACCTGCTGCCATAGTTGTGCATGAAAATTCTGGCACAATTGTGCAACAAACCAAAGATTCATTCACAAAAAACAATAACTGAAATAAAAAAAAAGGTGAAAAATGACATAAATGCTGCTTTCCACAACTGTTTTTTGTGTGATTTGAGTAATAATTAAGCTGTAAATGTAAATTGAATATATTACTGAAAATGCACTTAATTTGGAAGATTTAACAGCTGTTTACAGCCCCAAACTATGTTTTTCTCTCCTGATGATCTGCAGTTAAAAACCTGTGCTGTAACTACATAATTTAAGAGAAATTAAGTTGCTCGACGTAACATTTGTTGCACAAGTTCAGGTTGACTCTGATAGGCTGAGCTGAAGGAGATGTTGTGGCAACACAACGTGAGTTTGTCTAGTCTGTGATCTCCACTTAAGTGGGACTAAAAGAGCGAGCGGCACGAGAAAACACACACGAAAAATGGCGAGTGTGAAAGCTGCAATAGATTATCAGCTAATCTTTGGGGAGTCTCTGAGAATAAGTACTCTGACATAACTTTCATAACTTAAATCCGCAGAATTTTTATTTTATTTTACATAAGCTAAAGGAGATAATTCGAGTCCTTTGAAGTGGGGTTCTGTATGTGGAAATGTTTYGAATAATTAATATTTTCGCCGTTGTTGTTGAATTAGAAAATTTTAAATTTAATYCAGATCRTGCTGATGAGCTARCGGCTAGTCTGACCAGTGCATGACCAAACCATGTTGAAATAACTCCAATCTTAATGTTCCCAATGTGCAAACAATACTTTTAAACATTTGTACTGCCATTAATTTAGCACTAAACAATTATTTACATAGAATTTTATGGTTATTTGCAAGTTGAAGCAGCAGCTAGCAGGTTGTGGCAAGAATGTTCTAATGTTTACGCCAAAATATCAGTGAAATGCAAAAGTGACATTGGTATAAAAAGTAAAATTTCATCATGAAAAAAATWTGGATTTCTTGCTAGCGTTAGCAGCAACTATCAGCTTGTAGGAGGAATATCATGATTTTTGCTGAAATAACTGAAATGCAAAACTGATATTAGTAAAAAGAAAAAAATTGTATAGGTCTTCTGGACGGGTTCTTCTCTAATGAAACGTTTCRTCTCTTCAGGATTCCATGCAACCTTCAGGTGAAAATGAAGACCCCCAAACCCAGACCCAAACCAGTGGTTATTCCGTATGTTACGGGTGTTTCGGAGAAACTGAGACGTTTATTTTCTAAACATGATGTCCCAGTGACTTTCAAACCCCAAAACATATTACGGCAAAGGCTGGTTCACCCCAAAGATCCGGTGCCCCGGCACAAACAGAGCAATGTTGTATATGCTGTTAAGTGCCAGGAGGACTGCGACCAGTTATAAATCAGGGAAACAAAGCAACCACTGTTCAAAAGAATGTCCCAACACAGACGAGCTACGTCTAATGGCCAGAACTCTGCAGTTTTCACTCATTTACAGGCCAGCGGTCACTCTTTCAGAGATGAGGATGTTCTCATTCTTGATAGAGAGGAACGTTGGTTTGAGAGAGGAGTAAAAGAAGCCATTTTTGTGAAGAAAGACCGTCCATCATTAAACAGAGGTGGAGGCCTCCGTTTTCAGTTGTCCCCCTCCTACAGTGCTGCTATTGCCAGTATCACTCCAACCCCTGTTAACAATAGGTGTTAATTAGGTGTCAACAATAGCCATGTGATGTGAGTATCAGTCACATGGAGGCAGTGCTTAAAAGCCTGAATTGCCTGAAACTCTCAGACTGAAGAAGTCTCTTGGAAGAGAGACGAAACGTTTCATTAGAGAAGAACCCGTCCAGAAGAACTATACAATTTTTTTCTTTTTGATTTTTTTACCTGGATTACTGAGATGCATCATGATATTAGTAAAATATTGTAATTAGGTCTATTTTTAAACATTTATATTGCTGTTATTTTTGCATTTGATGTTATTTATGTGGAATTCTGTAGTTAGTTGCATGATTAGGTTGTTTTAAAGACCCATCTACAACAGATGAGATATTGATTATTCACKATTTTCCAAAGAACCTTGCTTAAAAAGATACAAGCTATGACGTTTACAAGCCTCTGTTTCTCCTGTTCCTTCCAGTAAACGTTTGGTGGTGGTGGTCCCCAACGAGAGCTCCTTCCCTGCGGTGCGGCGAGCTTACACCAGCGAGGATGAGGCGTGGAGGTCGTACCTGGAGAACCCGCTGACGGCCGCCACCAAGGCCATGATGAGCATAAACGGGGACGAGGACAGCGCCAACGCCCTGGGCCTTCTGTACGACTACTACAAGGTTCAGACAAAGACTCACATTTTACCCATGAAAAAACAGTTTCCTTTAAAAAAAAGATGGAAATGTTAATTACTCAACATTAAATTTTCACAGTACAGTTATTTCTGTTATCAGGTACCAGTTCAAAAGCTACATTTACCTGAAGTCTGAAGTTAACAGTGTGTTATAAATAATCTATAGCAAAAAAATTAAATAAAATTTAAAAAAATGGAGCAACCTTTCACTTTCATCTAATGCTGATCATTTTCCCTCTTTTTCTGTTCTTTCAGGTGCCAAAAGAAAAGAGACTTTTGCCAAGTCCCAAAATCGCTGAACTCCCAGAGGAACAGGAGAAGAGGTCGGTAAATCTGATACATTCTCAAAATCTGACTTAAGGACAGAAAGTTCAGGAAACAGCATGAAAATGGGGTTGATTTCTGCAGCATGTGATACTGAGCCTTTGCTCATAAGGTGACGTGTAAAACTGAAAAGCTCTCAGGTTTTTAAGAACTGGAGTACRTTATGAACTGTGTGCCTTAGAGCTTTAATTATGAGTGCAAATATATCACAGATGAGTGAGTTCTGTTTCACTTTAACTTCAGAAAACAAATGATTTTATGTTATACAATAGTGTACTGATATCTACTTACTGTTCATGTGGAAAAAAATAATCTGTTCCCCATTTCTAAGACTGATTTTTCTTTGTTGTTTGTTTTCAACTTYTTTTAAAACCCAGACCAAATGAAGCAGAAACAGTGGACAACCATGTCCAGGTCCTCAAGTCTGTCCCCGTCAACTTGTCCCTGAGCACAGAGCAGCAGGAGGCCAAACGGGAGCTGCTGTGCAGCTCCACGGCGGGGGAGGGCTCGGTGGACGGAGGCTCTCCGGCCGCGGCCGTGGTGAAGGTCGAAACGTACCCCCCGGTCTTCATGGTGGGAGCCGGACTCCCCTACAGGGTGGAGGGAGAGGAGCGGCTGGTTTACGAGCAGAGTCCGTACGAGGTGACCCCCGTTGGTCATGGCTCCTACGTGAAGGAGGACAAACTGAGTCCACCCGACAGCCCGTACGAGGAGACGGATGGGGTAAGAGAGGACAGGAAGTGGACGTGGGGCTAAAAATGCTGCTTTTATTCATTCTGATTCAGCAGTTTGTTGTTGGTGATTACTTTTTATTATTTTATTGAAAGCTTTTGTACAAGGGCTGCACAATAAATCACAAATGCATTGCAAATAACTGCAATAAACCATCGACTGTTATATTGCAAGGGTTTTATTGCAACTAATCTGCATTGCATGTTTTTTTCTTCTATTGTACAGTCCTTGACAACCTTTAATTGTAATTTAAGGTTCAGGTCACCTAAGAGCCACATTTAAACACAAAAGCTCTTGGGGAAATGCATCAAAAGAAGAAATAAGCAGCTAGAAAAACAAGGAAATGCAGCATAATGTGACTAAATGTCACATGAGCCTGAAAACGCTGCAAACGTTAAACAAGAACAAAATAATAAATGCTGAGGAGTCTGTGTTTTGTACATTCAATTCCTCTCACGCTGTAGGAATTCATCATCAATGATTTCCATTTGTGCATTTTTTTATTTTTGTATTTTGAACAGAAGTACCGCTCACCTTCCTCTCTACCTACAGACAACTTCTTATCTCACCACGAGGCAGTGTAAGTCGCTCCGCTTCTTAGCCCGTTTTGAATCGAAACAAACCGATTCACGACGGACCTGTGTCGCCGCCTCCCGCCTTGTCATCCGTCGTCACGCGTCTCGCTCAATGTTTGTGTTGCAGGGACACCTTTCAGTACACTCTGGATGCGACCCGTTCGCTGCGTCAGAAGCAGGGCGAGGGGCCGATGACCTACCTGAACAAAGGCCAGTTTTACGCCGTGACGCTCAGCGAGCTCAGCGCCAACAAGCGCCTGCGTCACCCCATCAGTAAAGTCCGGGTGAGCGCCTGTTCCTGTGTCTTTACCCTCATTTGATCCTTTTTTTTTTTTTGTGAATTTTCTTTGCACAACCTTAATATTAAATATTACCTATAGTTTGCAGGTTTACTTGTTTTTTCAAAGCAAGAATCTTAAATAACAATTACACAAAATAATCTGTATGAAAGGATTAGTTGGACATTTAAAACATCTTCAAGCTGCTTGTTTTGACGTTACACCCAGCAGTTTTAATCTTTTTACTGGATACAAGTGGCTGAATTCATCACACATGCTTTAAAACAATAAAAAAAGAGTTTATAACGGTGTAGTGCCACTATCTTGAACGGCTAATAGCTTTGGTCTCTGTAAAAATTTGACTTTAATTGCAAGAATTGGGAGGCAACTTGTTTGTGTCATTTAAAAGTCATTGAATTCCTCAATCCGGAAAAAAAAGACCTTAATTAGCTTTAAAATGTCTTGAATCAGCCTGTCAGGGGTCTAAAAATAACACATTGTAAGTTAGGCTGATATTTGTCTCAAATATTAAAATAATTGGTAAAATTAATTTATTCTTTTTAGTTTACAGAATGCCTCTCACAGCTAGTTGTTTTATGTTAAAATAAACATTTGGGTAAAATTGTCGCTGTTTTTTTGTGTGAAGTTGGTCTTCAATTTCATTTCAAGTGGTGTTAAAGAGGTCTTTAAAAGTATTAAATGAAATTTGATTTGAGCTGTGGGAACCCTGTTTTTTTTGTATTTTTCATCTCGTTCGTATTGATCCCAACATCAGCAATCTTCTGCACATCTTTTCCTCACACGGTGGTCAAAACAAGAGTACAGTGGTGCCTTGACTTACGAGTTTAATTTGTTATGTGACGGAGCTCAAATTACTTAAATGCCAAATTAATATTCACCATAGAAATGAACTGAAATCCCATTAATCTGTTACGGACCTCCCCAAAATCACTGCAGTCTTGTGTGTTGCATGTTTATAAATAACGGATATTTTATGAAAACACAATAGAATAAACTGCAATAACCTGATTTATTTAAGCTTTTTATTGGGAGATCAGATCACGTGGAGGAAAAGAGATGAGCACGATTCTGATGCTAACACTCTGAGCTAGTCWCTTAAAGCGAACCAGTGAGACACAGGAAGTGGATGTTGTGGCGGAACTAGCAGCGGGGCTTCCGAAGCTGGCTCATMACCAGAATTTTAGCTCTCAACTCAAAGAAAAAATCCTCAGAGAGATGGCTCATCTTGTTAAACAAACATTAGTTGGGACACTCGTAAGTCAAGGTACCACTGTATYTGTATGCCTAGATTTAGTTTGTTTTAAGCCATTGTTGTCTGACACTTGCCTACCAAGATGGCGGCGACATTGCTGGTATCACTAGTAGGGATGATGTCTAACAGAGACCAGAATCTAACAGAATTTTCTGCTATAGATGCCGTTTAGCCAACTGWGGTTTTTACTCTGCGTCACGTGTCATTTCATCAAACCCTGGCTTTCATTTGGATCTTTTTCTGTCTTCTTCTTGTTCTCAGAGCGTGATCATGGTGGTGTTCAGCGAGGACAAGAACCGTGACGAGCAGCTCAAATACTGGAAGTACTGGCACTCCCGGCAGCACACGGCCAGACAGCGAGTGCTGGACATCGGTACGCTTGCTTTGAAGTTTTATGAAGCTTGGTTGAACTCTGACGGCACACTGATGACACTTCAGTGTTGTGATTGTTGGACTGTGCTCTGCGAGTAAAACCAGAGCGATTCCAAACTGAAACAAAACAAAAAACAAGGCTCCACCCAACTATCTGTTTGTGGCTGTTCAGGTGTCCACCGTCTTTTTTCACGTTTGTTTCCCACGCCCATCAGAAACGCGCTCAGTCTCCCCCCACCTTCTCTTCGGCGCTTCACTTAGCCCTTCGATTTCGATTGTCGCGCTTTGAGCTTTGACCAACTTTTTCTCCAGCCAGCGCATGTGAGAAGCTCTCGGGCGGTTTTGTGTGTGACAAGCTCGGACCTGCTGCGCAAGGCAAAGATTCAGAGGCATGTGGGAGACTCGGGCTGGAAATGTGATGCACACAAACAGACACACACACACCTTCRTGCAGCTTGTTGGGACAGGGAGAGGAATGCTAGCCACAGTGTTACCTCAATGGTCGGTTGAAAGTAATTTTTCCCCCAGTTTAGATTTCCATCTTAATTCTTATGTTTGCAGCAATCAAGATAATTCCTAAGCAGCCTAGAATTCTTGTGCGTGTTTATAGCTGTTGAACACATGTTGGTCATTGTGAAACTGATATAAGATGAAATATTGCAGGAAATCCTCTTATGGACTCAAATCCATCCCATCAGGATGGTGTTGGTTTGTCCACCACTTTGTCATCAAATGAGATTGGATGAGATTGAAGCTTGTCTGACCAGATTATGGCCCMGACTGATGGATCCTACAGATTCCGGTGACTTTACCTGAATTTAATTCGTAAATGATTACAAACTATCAAGATTTATTTATTTAAAGTTACAGTCAGAGACTTGAAAGTCAACTTTTTCAACAGGAAATAAAATAAGAAAAATAGAAATAAAGCATACTTAAATTTACCAAAATAGTAATAGAGTAAATTTAAGGGGAGCAGCTTTAGTGGGTATGGTGGTCATCAGTCCCTGCAGCAAACACAAGTGTCCTTACRCAACACTGTACCCCCGACGCCACCACTATTCTTATCAGTGAGGTAGGAAGTGTGTGAATATGTCGTGTGATGGATTAAAGCTTTGGTTATATGACTGGTGTTAATGAAGCAGAATAAAGGACTGGGAGTTTAGAAATAAAACTTTAGATTAAGTTATGTCGTTTTCATCTTGTTGTTTATTTTAAATTGTAGAAGTTTCAGCACAGAGGTTTTTAAATGAATCACTTTTTGGACCAACTAAGGCTACGTTCACCGCAGGCAAACGCGACCCCTATTGGATTTGTTTCCTGACAGTCTTTGTTTGACTTTTGCATCTGTGAGGTGGGCGGGGGCGGATCGATCTGTCTGCATCTTGTAGCTCCACATTTGTGCAGCTACAAAACATAATCGCTTCATTTTTGTTATTTTAATTTTTCCGTGTCCTGGATGACTGAATTCACAGAAACATATGATAGTAACGCCGGTCTCTGACCTTCTTGATGCTAAAGTTACTCGAGCCATACTCGATCGATAGGTTCAAATATAAACACTGAACTAGCATGTCAGATAATTATTCTGCTCTGATTGCACAACTTCAGAATCGACATGCTAACATGTAGCATGTCTGTAAACAACAAGCTGAATCATTTTCTGATCAAGCGGGTCTCATCAATGCTGTGGAGAGTTCACACTGGAGTCTAATGGAGATCGAATTTAAAATGTAAAAAAATGGATTTTTGCACCTGCGGTGTGAACGTAACCTAAGTTCTGTTTTGGCACCTTGGCTGATTCGCAGCAAGATGTGAGAAAATGAACCTATAATTTCCAGGTTCCCTCGACATTTTCCAACCAAACTTTGCTCCTCGTGTTCTTCAGTCATAATTACAGTACAACTTTATATCAATAACACAGGCTCAGATGATGATTTGCTGAGTAATCAAGCAGAAATCCCTGCAGTTTTGTTGATCATTGTGTTTGAAGCCACTCAATGAAATCATCATTACTCTACAACCTTGTTTTTATCATGCTCCTGCATGTCGCTGCCRTGTCATGAGGAAGTCTGAGACCTTTTTCATGGACAAAACATCCTGTTTGTAAAGAGTCTGTTTCTAAACCAGATCTGGAGCTAGATCGTGTGCAGCTCAACCCCTAAAGGCTAAAAATATGTTTCCATCACACAGATACAGAGATGCACACAGACCTATGCAAACATTGTTAACAAAGATGCGCCTGTTTCCGACAATGCAGCGAAAAGGCCCTGTGGGTTCGCGCGCTGCTCCAGCTGGGTCTCCTGGTAGTTGGATGTAATTTGAAGATGGGATGAAAAGCAGTGCAGTGTGTGAAACCTGGTGCGTCGTTTACCCCTGGGCTGCAGAAAGTGTCATTTGAATGGGGCTATTTACTTGGGGGAGGGTGGGGTGGGGGGTGGGGGTGTTAGCACAAAGGCATGTTGCAGCCCGTCCTGCTGCTTTGTGCACCTGTTGAAGAACCAGGAAGTGCCGACACCATGGCGGTTAGGATAATGGAGGCAGGGTGGATGCTCCGAAGCTCGTATGTTTGGTGTAAACTGAGACAAAACGTTACCTCGATGAGAAAAATAACGAGGTAACCAGACGTTGGTTAAAGGGCGACTCTGGCATCGTTTGTTSACAGATGTTTGCATGTCGCAAACCACATGAAACATTAACAAAAGAGAAACGCACAGCGATTAGCCACAAAACACAACTGTCCTTCAGACCAAAAGCCACTAAAAAAAAACACTTTTCTTATTTCTTTGGTCATTTAATAAGTTTTAGGAACTATATAGTTATCAAATGTATTTATTTTAAGAGAATTTTTATTTTTAGTGTAAAAACCTACTTATTAATGTAAATACTTATTAAGGTCCCTGAATGTGATTTGTACACTAAATCGTTGTCAGATGACTGTTTTTGTTTAGTGGAGTCGTCCATGTTTAGGAGTCAGAGGTCAGCTAAAGCAAACCGATGCACTGATCTGGAT